TTTGCACAAAAAGTGTTAAAAAAGATCTCTAAGATATGTAATACTTGCAATTATTATAATTTGAAGCTCTATCAGAAGTTTTTGTATTTTTCTTTCTTTTTATTTAAAAACATCTAAATTTGAAATAAAAAATACTTATTAAATTTATAAATTAGATTAAAGAATGATGATTTGTAAATTCAAAAAAACAAATGATAATTTCTATATAAAAAATAAGAATTTACTTACTTTTAAATAAGATTTAATGAAAGAAACTAAAATAATTGTTTGAAGTTGGGAAATCTACAAAATTTGCACTTATATTTCACAATTAATGGGATAATCTCCTTTCTTTCTAAATATAATGTAAAATTGTACAAAAGCAATAATCTTATCAAAATTATCAAAGATACAAATTTAGAAAAACTTGTAAAAGATAATATATTCATGAATTTCTCAAAAAGAAAAATAATATAAGTATTAAACAAAAGATATAAGATCAATAAGAACTAAAATAGATATTGCAAAATACAAAGAAACTAGAGAGTCTTGAACTAAGATTGAAATACAAGAAAGTCATTTACAAGATTAAAAACAATCTCAATCTTGCTTCTATATATATACTAGCTAATAAAAAGATCTTCTTGAAACTTATTAAGAACTATGAGACTTGTGGCCTAAGTATCAAGTTACAGATTGCTTCCAATAAAAAAATTTAAAAGTAAAAAACTTAAAACATAAGTTTTAGTAGCAACATGGAATATCTAAGGAAGTCAAAAGATCGAATATGTATCTAATAAACTCACTTGAAGTTTTTTAAGAAACATATTATTGACCTAATATGTTTCTATCTACTTTTAGCTACTTCTATATATTTAAGTAATATAGAAATTTATTATAAAATGAGTAGGTGGAAAATATTTTAAAAATATATATATTTAAATTATATTTCTCATATTACTTGGTGTAATATATTCTCATATTTAAAGAAATATTAGAGTAAATTCCAGCAAATCAAACTATATTTATATTAAAGTTTGTATTAAATTATTATCCAATATATTAATAATAATTTAATAATTCTCTTTAGATAAATGAAGTTAATTTATATGATCATATAAACTTTCTAAATATTTTAAGAAGATGGCTACTAATTAGTCTAAATCAAATAATTATAAAAATTACAATTAAAACTTATAACTAGAACAGACCAACTACTAGGAAATAAATTAGACAAAACAAGGAAATATGAATAAACTACTTGGAGTTATATTTGACATCTTTTTTACAACCAATTTATTGATAAATTTTTATTCTATGATATAAATAATAAAAATTAACAAACTAGTGTAATAAAATAAAATATATTATGGTTAATAGTATAAAAATAAATAATATTCTATTGTAAAAATGTTTTATTTTTTATTTATTTAAAATAAAAATAAAATGTATTGATGTGTTTCAAAAACTTGTACATAAGATGCAAAGATGGTGAGCTAAAAATATAATTGATCTAGAGTTACCAAACTTGAGAATAACATGAAATTAATTTAATATAATATATTTATTAATTTGACATTATCATCTATTTATATATGACCAACTTGAGATATATATATATATATATATATATATATATATATATATAAATTTCTAAATAAATTTTCTAAATTTATTAACTTTTTTATATTATATATAAAAGTTAATAAATTTAGAATAGCCTTAGTTTTAGAATAAATTCAAATAAATCTTCTATGTAGAAAAATATGTTAAAGAGTTTTTTTTTTTTTTTTTTTTTTTTTTTTTTAATACTAAGAACTAGGATTAATTTGATCAGTTTTTTTTGAAATACTTGGTATTAGAATTATATAAACTTAGTTTATTTACTTACAAAAACTATTTAAATCTTAAATCCTTTTACATGATTGAAACAATATCAAAGTTATTTAAGTTGCTGTCTATTGAGTGCAAAGTATAAAATGTGGCAATTAAATCAATCTGAGATTTTTAATAGAAATGCAGTTTAGCTTAGAAGTGAATTGCAATATTTCTTATAGACATGCAAGTAGGTGGCTATCTACTAAGACAAAAACTCTTTATTTCTAATATAAATTTGTAAAGTATAAAAAAAATTCTAACTAAATACTAAGAAGATATTGTCTAAAATAAACATAATGCATCCATTTGTTTGAAAGTATATTTTATACACATAAATTTTAATTATCCAATAAAAATCTTATAAGGACCATGGTTAGTGTTATGTACAAAAACCAACATAACAAAGACAATATGTATGTATGTATGTGTATATATATATATATATATATATTGACTAAAGAAGGTGTGGATGATCAATGATATTTCAAGTTTAAAGAGATAATATTTTCATCACTTTTATACAAGATTAGATGAAATCAAGAAGAATTTTGACCACTTTATCTTGTCAAAAAGAAACACTTCCTCTATAGATATCTTAATAAAGTTAAAATTCATTATTCTTAAGGAAAAAAATACATATGAATTTCATTAATTTAAAAAAATGATATACCACATCTTTGCCATCTTATAATTTATGATGGATAAACATGTAGAACACAAAAGTGAATAGAAAGATGCATAATTATTTTGGCAATTGTCACACAAAGTGATGGTTATCATTTTTTAACAAAACAGAATTGTGTTAGATGCACACATACATAAAGCCCAATTCAGTGATGTAGGATGTGTCGCATAAAAGCTTAAAAATAAATAAATAAATAAATAAATAAATAAAATCTTTATTATTTTTGGAAATACTTGTCAATACAAATATTATGTTTCAACTTTTTTGTATTATTTAGTCAACAAACCAAAGTTTTAACTTTTAAGATGTAGTTATCTATAAAGTGTAGATTGAAAAAAAAAAAAAAAAAAAACAGAAAAATAGAAAATAAAATAAATTAAAACATGGTGTGAAGTTAAAACATGCAATATGATGCAATGCAAAATTTGACTAGGTATAATCACGTGTAGAGGAAATGTACAGCGTCAATTTACAAAGAAAATACAAAACATATAAAAATTCCCAAAAAATAAGATATATATGCATATAAACATATATATATATATATATATATATAAGACATCTTTGTTGGATGAATTGATGACCAAATACATTAAAGACTAGTAGTCCCTACACAATAAGGTTAGATATTGATGAGGGCTAGCACTCACCTTGAGTTCTAATCCATCTCTTGCAATGCATGCAACTGGTTGATGCATACTCTCGCTTTCTTGTAAAAGAATTCACCTCTGGTAGTATCAAAAAATGCAAAACAGAATCTTATCTTCCAACATCCCACCCTCCCTATCAAAGCCAACCTTTTTATTCACCAAATCATCCGGGATTGTGGGAGCATTTGTCGGTGTTGTCCAAATCTGCGATTGGTGCTCATAAGCAACGGCACGTCGGTGACCAATGGATCAGCTTCGACGCAGCGTCGATTTCACTAGACAATCAACTCTTGTGACTAGAAATCTGATTTACCAGTTTGCAGATCATCATAGTTTCCACTCCACCGACAGATTTTTATCTTTTTATCGATGTGCAATACGTCGCTACTTAACAACTAGGTGAATGTATCGGATTCAATCGATGTAGATCAAGCTGATTTCACGGCAGGATGAAGCCATACATGCGATGGAACTGATACTGTGAGCCTCGCAGGTGCAGCGATAGAAACGAGATGAGTATCTGAGTGTAGGGAGAGAGAGAGGTTTGTGAAGCAAGCCCCGGATTGTTGCGAGATCTGATATCTATGGTAACAAAGCTAAGATTCAATTCGTGTGGGGCACGGGGCGCTGGTCGCGGCGAGAGCGATGCCGTGGGTCATGAACCGAGAGTTTCCTAGGCAACGAGGGGACAGCACGGCGAAAGTAAGACAAGGATCTGGACGAGCAAGCATTAAAGTTTCCACCCGTTTTCATCGGCGGTAGGGAGGCGGGATCGAGCAGTGGTGCCAAATGCCACCGCCTCAGTCATGCTTAACACGCCACAGCCCAATGAGTTGCTCCGAAAGGGGGACACTTCTCGTTCCTTGCACTTCGATGGCACCTTCGCTGCTTGGATAGGATTGCCTGGGATTGTGGATTGGAGAGAGCTGAACACGTTGGGGTGATATTTCTTAGCGCACAAGCTTTTTCGGTGCTTGCAGATGCGCATGATGCGAGAGAGAAACGCGGCTGGGTTGAATGACATTTAAGAGATGTCATTGTGTTTTTGCCGATTGGGGGAAAAATCTACAAATGGAGCGCTCAGGAAGTGCTTGTGGGGTGGAGCATTCCTGAACTCGGAGAAACTAGTTCGGAATGGGATGGAAAATTTGAATGTCACAAGTGCGCTCCGCCCTTCGGAAGGCTGCGCGACATTCTGTTGGTTTTTACTTTCTGGAAAATTATGCCATGCAAGAGGATAATCACCGCAACAGTATTTCTGACAGTAGCAAGAAACGGGTCACATGGCATTACCACGATAGACTGACACAACTAAACCAGCTGGAGCACGGGAAGCAGGGGAGATTTCAGAACGGCACCGACGTGGTCAAATCAGGTAGGTAGGGTTATGGTTGACTAACTCACAGATCGGGGAGTGGCAATTTCGCACGGGATTGTTGAGGGACGGACATTATGGTAGGTTTCAATTGGGCGCGGCAACCTCATAAAGTTTTTGGGAGAGACTTTGTAATCCACTAGATAACAACGAGAAAACGGCAATACCACAAGGTCCTCTTGATTGATTTGTGTAAGACTTACTGTGATTCTGACCATGAACTTGGTCGTCTGCTTACTTCTGACCCACTGACTGCACCCCCACTCAAGCTGATCATACTGCACAGTTCAGACTCAGCTCAGCACTTGTTGTCGATTTCTCAACTTGCAACAGCCGCATGCATCTAAATCCTCAGACAGGGAAATTGTTTATGTAATTAAAAATCGCTTTTTTCTTTTTTTTCTTTCGGGAATCTGGATATACAATGGGCGGCTGACTTGAACTGGAATGTACAACACCCGGGGCGAGTATAACCTTGTTTCTGTATCTGTGATTTACACCGACTGAGCGGAACCAAAAACTCGTATCACTAATCTTTGGAGATGTTAATCCTAAGCTGCACTCGTGCATAATCTACCATGTCCAGACGACGTCGTACAACAGGCAATGTGTGGATTAAAGGACACTTGGGTATCCGTGTAATGATTCACTTATATAACTCTATGTAATTCTAACGGAGACATGCAATAGGAAATATTATAAGGATCAAGCTTGAAAGAAGGAGAAACTATTCTGTTTGTATCTACATGCTAAGCTTCGTTCGACGCTTTGGTCTCATTGTGGAAGAACTATCGTGCGTAACGTGAGTGACCAAGTGCTTGCAACTGCATTTGGTAATGGATCTACCCGTTGCTACATATAGGTCCCAGCTTTTAAACTTAATGTTCTGCTTCACAGTGGTGGTGACCGGATATCGATCTTCTAAATGCCCGTAGCGCATCATCCTCCATTCCTGCTCGTTCAAAATCTCTTCCTCGGGTTGGTGCCAGGCGGATTCTCGAGGACCGTCTAGGAATTCCTCGTCATCTTGAAAGACTGCCTTGCCGTCTTCCTCTAAGAGCTCCTCGTTGTTCAATGCGGTTAAAGAGAGAAGCATGTTGGCCATTATCTGTGAGCCAGATTTCGAAGAGGCAGGAGCTGCCAGTGGTGGAGTGCCGCTCGATGCACTGCAAGAGGTGCTTAAGGCAGCCAACGACTCGAACGATGCGGAACTCATGCTCGACGACGAATTCGGTGTACCTGCTTGATCGCCGACGCTAACAAACCCCGCGCTGTGCTCGTCGGAGTCGTAACAACGCTCCACGTCCACGTCCAATGAGCTGCAACGCCTTCTGTGCTCTTCCATCACGACGCGAGATGTGCACTCTATAGGGAAGCAACCAGACCCGCAGATGACAGACCTCGCCTTCAATTTCATCAGCTTCTTAAAGACCTTCCCAGCCAAGTGCAATCCTGAAGGCCGAAGAACAACATCAGGTGCTGGCTCAAAGCCATTGGACAATGGAGTTGGATTCGCCATCGCGCCTGCGGATACCTGTGAGCTTGAGCAGTCGAGAAGAGGGTGAAGAGGAGCTCTTGACGGAATTCCTGTTCCAGTCACGGAATCCGGATACGCACGACCGGGAGTCGGTTCATAACCGTGTGGGCTTCTTGGGGATGACCTGCTTGGTCGATCTGTGACTCGCGATGATTCCAACATACCCAACGCCCGAGATTTTCCTACGAGTCTATACACGGGCTTCTACAAAGTGGGTCAATAACAGACAATGCCCACGAGTGCGTCTCCACAGTGAACTACAAGTTTACCAGAAATATTTCCAAAATCTAGCTTCGCTAATCTGCTTGGGTTTGCGGTAATCTCTGCAAACACTTCCAGGGAATACTGAAGAGTGATCATGCTAGGAGAGAGGGTAACACTAAGAAATCATGACTTGGGAATCACACGTCTTGCGGCCTGAGGACATTTCGGGATTACCCACAAGACCCGAAATTGCAATGTAGGCAAGGAGTGTAGTTCAGGGTTCCGAACTTGCCAGAGTAACGATCTTCAAATGTTGCGAGAAGGGATTCAACTGGACGACAAGGTAACAATCAATATCGTGCGGAAAAGAGAAAATGGTCACGACGTCCAAGAGTTCCACAAATACGCAGCCCATGTGCAACTATATAAACTTTGTCAGGGGGAAGAGAATCGTGTATGGTTGCCCAAAGATCTCCTTACCGCGGCTTGCGGCTTTCTTTACTCATCTCTACAACTCCTCCACGGTGCCAGTCCGACGGGAAATCGTACCTAAAGTTGCAGATTCAGCTTATATTCGATCCTTCGCAACAAACACTTGGAAACATTCGTATGCACCAAAAATAGCCTGATGACTACACAATTGAGACGCTTCACCTTCGATCAAGAGAACTTGCACAAGAAGCAAGAGAATAAGGGGGCTCCCCAACACAAGATTGCGAGAGGTAGGAGGAGGAATAATAAACAAGTGCTACGCGTTCAAATTTACTGACTGAGGTTGCAGGGCTCATGATCCCATGCATGTAAGGAAGTTTGGATGGCCGAATATTCCAACTCGTTGCGGAGGCTTTTGCAGCAACGGCATGGAGGGCATGATGTGGGTAATGATGAAGCCTGACAATCTCTTCACATATCCGACTCTTGGTGAAAAGGAAAATAAAGCGCGAGTAATTCTGACAAGAAACCCTGATGAATCATGAACCGAGACGACCTGCTAGTAGAGCATAGAATTAGCCAAGCGGTATGTCTAAATGGCTGTTGGGTCTGCAAGTAAAAATCTCAACTACAAATTTTGAAATCTTACTGTGCGGTTTAGTGTTAAAATCTGAGGCAGTAATTGAGAACAAGAAACAGCAGGATACTGGTTGGTTATGGATAGCAAAAGATTTTGTCCGGCACTGCCTTTAATTCTTTATGTTCCCTGCCGAAGAAGGAAGGCTATAAGCAGGCACATCACCCACCTCCGGGCGTTTTTCAGTCACCCCCCATCCGTCAATTCAACAGACAAAGCCCTCAATTATCAACGACCACTATTTCCATCAGTTTGCCATGAATTTGAACTGTATCCTCTTTATTTCCATCAGTTTGCCATGAATTTGAACTGTATCCTCTTTGCTGCTAAGGCTGGCGCAAACCAGACTTTATGACTCTTTGAACGTAGTTTATGGATGCCCCTGCTGCGATTGTTCTTGCCACATACCGGTCGCCGTGTCACTAGAATTTAATCTTGTGGTCCACACGAGTGAGAAATATTATTCAACCCACCCCCCCAGTTGCCGTAAATTTAAACAATCGGCACGAAGCATCCTATCCGATGACCTAACTTTGTGAGCATTTGTGTTGGTGTTTTTTTTTTCTTTTTCTTTTTTTTCTTACTTCGCTGAGCGACTGTGCGACTGTGTCTCATTTTCCCTTACGGCTTTCTGACTTTTTCAGCGCCTGTCGCCGCCCGATTCAAACTGCCAGACGTTAGCGTTTCGAGGAGTTAACCAGCGTACATTCTCGTGACCAGAAGGTACATCCCCGTTTGGAGCTTCTGAAAAGCTTAAGATTCTGGAAGTAGACTTCTCGGCTACTAAGCAGCAGACAAGGTGAATAGGGTTTGCAGTGCCAGAGAGACACGTGATCGTGTCCTTGCGCTGAGCACCGGACATGGCCTTCGATGCCTGAGCAGATCCTAGGCCCCTATGTCGCACTACTTTCAAGCCATGTACTGCATGGGAAGTTATCCCGAACCTACTAAGATCTTGTGCTCCCCACGGTTAACCTCTGCTACAACCCTCTGTTTAGGATACTGCTTCAGAATGCGCCCCACATTTTTGTTTGTTAAAAACCATTATCAATGCTGCTCTCTAAAAACCCTAGAGAATGGCATTGGAAACAATGTAATTGAGTCTCGATCATTCGCTAAAGATGACTTGGGTATCGCTGCTCTCTTTTCATTATTATTATTATTATTATTATTTATTTTTTTGGCTGTATCAGAGATAACTGCGAAAGCTAGACCGGACAAAAAACTGGAGTTGGCAATTGCAACAGTGGTTGCGTTTTACAACCGAGACCCGTTTGGATTTGTGGCAGTGTGGTGGAAGGCGGACCTCGCCAGCGCTACTCCACCTCATGGCAAAACCCTGGAGATTCTCATTCAATCCACATTGCAGAGGCATATCCGCAAACCACCGCAAGTTGCAAGTGACGATGAATGCTGACGATCTTAAATGTCTTCGGGGTTGTAAGATTGACCAAGTTCACCAAGAGCTTCTTACAAGCGGTGCAATCATCGACTCCGCAGCAAGTAACTCAGATGTAATACCAAGAGGCACTGAAGAGATTGGGCAGCACAGGAGAAGCATCGACACTTTCGGACCAGATATTTCAGCAGAACTTACAGCGGAGCCCATGTGTAAGTTTCGATAGGAGTGAACCATCTTCTTTCATGCCGGTTTTCTTACAGCGCGAGTGCTAAAATCCTTTAATAAATTGATGAACAGGGTTGGTGCGAAAAGCGAGTGTCCATGATCCATTGAATTGCACTGCAGACTGACAATTTTGCTTATGGAATTGGGTGTCTGGAACCGTTGTATCTGGAATTTCAGAAGTAGGTGAACAATGTCGGAAATAATTTTAAAACGAAAAAGCAACAACAACAACAAGGACTTAAATGCCGACTTGATGCGACTGAATATATTTCGCTAACAAGGCTTACCATTTACTCATCAAAGGGGCCTAAACTACAGAAAACAATGCCCGTTGCTACATTAGATAGAGCAACATTTTCTCGACCGCAGCAATGGCTGAAAACAAAGCAAGGTATCCTGTCAGTGTTTGTCACCGTTGCCAGTACAAGTCAGGATACAAAACGTAGGGTTTCCGTAACGGTTTCTTGTCAAGACGCCACGCTCTAGAGGCAACATGGAGCTGCCAGAAGTGATCACAACGTCGAGTTTCTTCTTCGTCTTAGTGTTGGTGCAAGTCCGCATTGTCATAAGAAATCGCGACTAGTTGTTGTTCTTCGCCCCTTCCCACACAGAACCGCTACCCAGCAAATTGCACGACAACTGAGCAATATGAACGGAACTTGCACACATACACACAGACCCACAGACCAAATAATCGAAGACATCAACAGTACTAAAGGGAAGCGACATTTCAGTCGCGAGGAATCACGATGCTCGAGAAAACTGTGAGCTTTAGCGCGTCGAAGGCATGAGCGTCGCGGTTGCCAAGCATAAGCAGGAGTAGTAAGTTGATTAAGTCACTAACTGACTAGTTAGAGTGAGTTTGACGAAGTTACTAACGGACTCGCAATCGTAAGTTAATGAAGTGACTAATCGACTGGTTGTGGTAAGTTTTGTGAAGCGACTACCTGACTAATTGTCGTGGGTTCTGTGTGTGGTGAATAATTAGGGTTAGGATATTATAGCTTGGTTTGTATAGAGAAACATTGTGCTAAATTATAAGCTTTGTGTTGTGGACGTAATGGTATGTGATTATTTTAGGATAGGTGAAGTACATTCATAAACATGTTAATTTTTGTTAATAATTGTTAATTAAACATGCTAATTCTAGTTAGTTGAACATGTTAATTTTTTTTAAAAAAATTGTACATTAAATTACGTGTTAATTTTAAGTTAATTTTTGTTAATTTTTGTAACTTGTGGGTTTTTTATTTTATTTTATTTTAATGTGGGTATGTGTGTGGTGTGTATGTATATACTATTTTATTGTGCTTTTTTTTTGTCACTAAGAGAGATTACCTAAATACCCAATTAACTCCTGGGGTTTTATTACTTTACCATATTAAATAAAAAGCTGCAATTTTTATACAAAAAAATACAAATGAAAGAGTAAATAATGAAAGCTACAATATCATAAGATTTAATCAATGATTAAAATGTTTGGAAGACGACGTCTAATGATTTGCATGTATAAGCATCAATTCATTAAATATTCATTGAATAATTCAATCATGGAGAAATCTTATTATTGTCTCCCTCTAATCACACTTGAATCTATTGTTGTAATTATTTTTCATCTTAAAGTAAAGTAAAGAGGAAGGATTTGTGTGATCATATTATGGACCATATAGTGGCAGATATGCCTGCAGAAACACTTGCAGTTCATTTATTAAAACAATGTAAGAAAATATAGACATTTATATAAAATAGAATAATTTATTTGATGTGAAATCATGCTTGATTATACTGTTCCTTATTTTTCTAGTAAGTCTGGTTATTATTGTTATCTATTATCAGTAATACCTACGCCAGATTATCAAGAGATTTTAATTAAATTTCGCAGTGGGTAAACATGATATTGTTATTTTGAATGTAGGTAAAAAAAATCATACATAGTTGTAGTATATATTGTTTATTAGTAAAACACGAGCTTGTATGTGTATTTATTGATGTTGTGAGTCTACATAGATATTCTAGTAGACATACTGATTATCATAGGGTTTTTAAAAATAAAACATTAAAAAAGGAATAAACAAGGCTTTGAAAATAACATTAAAAACTTGAACAAGTCAGTTGATGATGAGTAAAAAAGATAGAAAAAAAATACAGATTGATTTACATCAATAAACAAATGAGTTAAGGAAGATCATCTTTTCGCTGATTAAATTAAATCTGTGGAAAAATAGTAAGTAAGTAATAATAGTAATAATAATGATAATAAATAAGATATAACAAATGTAAATATCTAGATACGATTGTGTCATTAGAACATTAAGGAGAGAAGTGAAACAATTTAATTCAGTCTTATCATTTCTGTTACTGTTGTTACACCTTGTTGTCGACATTTACTTCTTTGAAGTAGAAAATATAAAATCGTCTTTTGAATTCATTAGCGTGTATGTCCTTTGAGTGATAGAGACACATATTTCTGGTAAGTACGACAGTGAAATTCATTAGCAAAATTCTATCCATTGGATAGACCAGGGATCGCAGTGAGAGTTACATAAAAACATGAAATACATTTCATTTGCATCTATTGTATCCTTAATCTTTAGATTCAACTGCTTCGTTTCTGGCCCTTAATTTGAAGCTCATAACCTAAACTAATCTACGTTCAACAAAATGTCACATTTCAAAATGGGTGTGTCGAATAACAAAAATATACATAGTTGCAAGGACTAATAGGGAAGAAAAAGATCGTTCTCCTCACCACCGCTAGAAGTGTGGCTTATAAATAACTATTGTTGGTTCCATTCAGTATTCATTAGATCCTGGTTTTCATGTTTAGGAGAGTTTTCCTTACACCCTTAGTGAGATTCATGGTCTGTTTATTGCCTTGAAAAATTACAGTCTACATCATGTTTCCTATGTGCTATGTCAGCATCTTAAAGGAACATCAAGTTATAGTGATCTGGAGGAACTTAACATGAGTACTTTACAAATATTGTCAAATCTGTTGGAGGTGATCAAGTTCAATAATGAGGCGATTTTCAGGTCAGATCCTGAAATGCTAGCTAGGCTCTAAATCTCATCTAGGAATACAAGTCCGGAAAGTACCCTCCATTAAGCACTAGAGTTGTCAAGAACAAGTTTCGGACATAGCTTCTACCCTACAGATTACTTAAACAGATTGAAGTACCTCTTCGCGCTTGAATTGGAACAGGCGCTGCAGTACATCCTCCACAACCTGTTCATAAATTGCAAGGAGATCGCATGAGAAACGATAAGATTGTCCAAACAACAACATTACAGTAAGAAGGACGAGGTCTGACAGGACTTAACAATCGGTTCAACAGAAAAAGGAGCAATCAGGAGTAGTAATAAGCACCTTGTCAGGAGTGGAAGCACCAGAGGTGATACCGACTGTAATGGGACCCTCAGGGAGCCAGTCGTCCTTCTCAACGTATTCACCATGCTGTACAGACAATGTAAGTTAATAAAATTTCGTGGAAAAACTAAAATTTCATAAAAATGATAAATAAGAAATAATCCAAACTGAAAGGGGCGTTCTAGACATTCCCAATTGTTTCAGTGTCGGCAGGTCTCACACAATCCCAGACTGGGGGCACTAATGATAATAAGTTGCAAACAGCTTACGTTCAGCTTGAAGGCGATTCTTTTCCCGGATAGCATCCGCTCCTCTGTATCTATCCAGTAGGAGGGAACTCCCTTGAGTTCTGCAATTTCTTGTAAATGAGAAGTGTTGCTGGAGTTCCAACCTCCCACCACCAGAATCAAATCCACTTTGTCTTCTACAAGCTTGAACATGGCATCTTGTCTCTCCTAACATCCAAACAAGATTAAATCATGACAATGAGAGGATAAACTAGAGCGACTTCACATCGACAACCAGCGCAGAAAAAGATAGATGAATCATAAAAAGCATTGCTATGTAATTTTTCCAGCTGCCCTTCTACCTAAGTCAGATTCAAGCTATTTCTGCCAATTCAGTAAGAACAGAACAGGAACACTGACCTGGGTTGCATCACAGATGGTGTTAAAGCTCATGAAATGATTAGTGACATTTTCTACACCATACTTTTGCATCATCGTCTTCTCCAGTAGTTTTCCTGCTCATTGAACGCAAATGCAATGCGCAACACAATTGTTTAAGCTTATCTTTCGCATGATTCCATTGCTAGGTTACAGACTGAACATTGAAAACCCACGGAGAACCCCAGCACAGAAGTCAAATAAGAAAAGGCCACTAATTTTAAAAAGGACATAGAAAAAGATTGAAAAGCTTTGCAGAAATCCTGGCAATTAAAATATGATTGAATACAAGTGAGGGTTCTCACCAATTTCTTCAGTCTCCCCCTTCAGCATTGTTGTTTGATTAGCAATTCCAACTTTCTCCAAATCTGTATCTGGGTCAAAGCCCTTGGAAATGGCATACTTGAATTTCTGGTAAACAAAACAGAACAGTCAGGCATTTATTACAATATCTTTCATTGTAACGTATTCATCCCCAGGAAACACTTGTCATTGGCAACTACAGCACACACACAGTAACCACATTAAACAGAAGACGCTACCAAGAATTTTTCAACAAAGGAGCGGTGAACACGTACTTCAAGAAAATCTTCTTTCGTCCCACTGGAGCCATCTAGCTTTCCACCCAAAATGTAATCGCAAATATAGGTTGCCTACAAAATGCCAAGTGGGTCAGCGCAATACCCCTTTTGAAGAGTCAAGATCTATGAGTCCAACAGTCTACAAAATATGCAATGAACGCGTAGCTTATTGCACGACTGTATCAGCGGCAAATCATGTTCACCTCTTTGATGTTCTTCGCAATGATGTATTTTCCAGCAAAAGAAGCAGTGGCAACAGTCTCCTCGTGAGCATATTTCCCATGAATTACAGACGTGTAGGTGCCCTTTTTGTGCTTCTCCACTGTGTTCCAGACCTATTTTAGAAATAACGCACATGTCATAGCAGCAGGAATTGCAGCTCCACGACTACACTGACCATATAAGCCTTCACAGATACCAACAAAAATACTAGCAAAAGAACCATGTCACTTTTGACACGCATCGAATAAAACGATAGCTCACACAAGTTACTAGAGTTTACCTTCGACACCCACGGGCAGGTCGTGTCTACAATTTGTACTTTTTTGTCGTCAAGAATCTGCATTTCCTGAACCGAGGCACCAAATGCTGGCAGAATAACAACATCACCTTGGTCTACGACAGAGAAGTCCTTTCCATTCTCAGTAACTGACAATTCGCTTATGCCCATATCAGTCATCTTCTGCTCGCAGCTCGCAAAACGGTTTTACCTCAGTTAGTGACAGTTACTATTCAAAGAAAGAATGGGCATTGAAAACAAACATACGACAATCTTTTTAGAACTGTACACGCATGTTCCAGAAATTTCGCTCAACTGGAAAAGTTCTTGCCGGAAAGAAAATGCTCGCAGCATCATAAAACTATGAACATCCACTTTAGATCTGTAGTTATTTTGCAAAATCATGTCCTACCCACGTAACTTAATTCCGGATTGGGGAGAAGGTTCCAACCTGATTGACTGTTGGATTGTGGATGATCTCATTAGTAAGCCACAACTTCTGCTCTGGAAACTGCTTGCGAGCCTCATAGGCGATTTGCACGGCCCTCTCCACTCCCCAACAGAAGCCATATGAGTTGGCCAGCTTCACAGTCACATTCCCCCAAGTATACTCGAAGTTGTTCTCCTTCAGCGTCTTCACGAGGTTGCCTGAGACAAAAACCGAGTCAAACGTTCCATCAAAAACCAACGAATGATAATATCATCCGACAGAATTCACGATATCACAGACTATCCGGACGACTTCCTGTTATTGGTGACTATTTGAAGACCTCGTAGGGATGATCTACTCTGTTCGCCAAATTCAATTCCCCACACTATCTCAAGATCTAAAAAAAGAATAAATTCGTCGCGTTGTTCCAGCTATTGTAAACCCTGATTGCGTTTAGAGATGAAGAGAGCTTACTGGTGTACTCCACGCTCATTTTATCAAGCATCTCCTTCTTGTATCCATATCCAGTCTTGTTGTACTTCTCTCCCCTCGTCAACGCCTTGCGAAACTCTCTCGTATCGATCTCTTGAGCACGCTCTTCGGCTGCATGGGAAGCGTCGCACCGGACACGCTTACATACATGCCTTAATCCGTTCAAGCGTTTTCCCCGAGGATGAGTTCTAAGGGATACCCCACATGCGGACAAGGAAGAATCGACTCGTTTCTCGGACAGACCTCCGGAGAGGGCCAGAGGAGCCGAAACCTTGGCTGCCCCTGTCAAATTACACACCGTCGCCATAGCAGAGTAGGATACCCGGTCTACAAGAAAATCACAAGAATTGTTCCACCCTGCACACCCACAATCCCAATTCAAGCTTCTACTCACTTACATACCAATGTAAATGCTAGTAAAGCGACCAAACCACCAAATAAAAAACCTGATTACGAGAATGAGAAATTGACCCAACCGTGTAAAGCCAATAGAATGTCCTAAAAAGGTATCACACCCCAGGTCTCTGTCACTAAATTACCCAAATTCCCCCTTTCCAACGAGGCCAATCACACACGCAACCATTCCGCGAATCTACACTCCTCAACTACAATGGAAGCGTTGTAACGCTCACCCACAATGCAGAGCAATAGCCACGACAAGCCGGTGCGTAAAACTCGCAAAGCTGAATTGAAACTATACCTGAGAGGACGTTCGTAAAGGTGAAAGAGAAAGGGAGAGCGGAGGACAAAGGCGATGGAATTCTGGAGGCGCTGGACCTGAGGTTGCGCAAAGCCAACGTAGGGGATGGATGGCACGCGCAGAAGCAGAGCCAGGAGAAGGAATCCAGGGGAGGGGGAATGCGGGGTCCGTATGGTGGTGAGATGATGACGAGGAGGAGAGGGGATTGCGAAGGAGATTGCGCATCGAGCCTGGCCATACGACGACGACGACTGCGTGGATTGTCGAGGTAACGCCCCCGTGACTCCGCGCCTCCCCCCTCCCCGAGGCCTCAGCGCCTGGGTCTTGTGGGTTCCGCCGAACGAATGCGTTTCATCCATTCAAATCCCATTCGTCTCGTTCGTTTGTGGATGTTTTCTGTAGGGCGTTCAGGTTTGTGTAATGAATTGTTGCTTTTCCGTTACATGATAACGCGTATTAAGAGATTTATTTTTTAATAAATAAACATATAAAAATATAAATATAAAATATATAGGGGAATTTTAAATAGGCCCATCCTTACCATCATGAAAAAAAATGACCTCTAGATTCATTTCTCTACTACTACTAGATCCAAAACCAATGAAAATTAACCAAATTTATCATGATTATCATATTTTTCATTATGGCTAGATTGATTTTGTAAAACATAGATCTATTTAATATTCATATATATATATATATATATATATGTATATTTTTCATATATTTCACCAAAACGAATAGATATTAATATGAAATTAATCTTTTGTTAATAGATTTGTTCAAAAATATTGGAATTCAAGATTAACAAACTTGGTCCTATATTATGTAGAAAATCAAAACCATATATTCAATAAAGTGTACAAATTTTTTATATTGAGTATATATGTGTTTCTTTTTTGTAATTTGTTTTTCAAGATTAAAATAAGATGCATGTTTACAAAGTGAATTAAGGTTCATTTTGTAAAATTCACAATTACATATTTGGATTCTACAAAAACCACTTCTAAATATCATACATAGAGAGTTTAACATAGAGAGTTTTGTCCCACATATTGTTTAGATGGATGTCTTGAAAAAAATCTTACATTAGTAATTTAATTAAAATTTACCAAGTTTACATTAATTGTAGAGATAAGAGCCAAGGATAGGATCTCTTTACTAAGACCATCAAGTATATGGGACAAATATTAGTGCATGTAACTTCATTTGTTAATTTGTAAATTCACGTCATATAATTTTGAGGCATCAAGTCTTCTATTCTTTTCCTTTACTTTCTTTTGAACTACTCTCCCTCTTCATCTATCTTTAGGTAAGTCTTCTCTACATATTGTCTTTCCTTGAACTATTCTCATCACTTTTAAACTACAAACTTCCAAAGTAAGCAAGCATGTTGAGAACGTTTAGATCTACCTAAATTTTTTTATTAGATAACTATTATTTTCTAATAATTATTCTTTTTAGAGGTAGATTCTAACATTGTTGGCTTTTATAAAGAGTGTAAATTTGATCTTTTTATTGTTAGTTACAAACATCACAATTGCCTTATTTAAGTAGAAGAAGATAATAATATTAACAAGATATTTTTAAAATCACTTAAAAAAAACTCAAATTAGATTATATATATATATATATATATATATATTCATTTCTGCACAGCACCATCAATCAGCTCTCAAACTATCATAGTTTCAGCTTCTAGAACAGTTGATAATCCAGTTTCAAGAGCAACAATCCTGCAATGAATCGATCAGCTGCAAGGCTGTGGGCAGTGTTAGATCAGGCAGTGTTAGATCAGGTACCTTGTTTCCTAGATCAACAAGGAAAAGAAAAGAAAAGAAATGAAAAAGTATTTCTGAGGGAGACGATGGCATGAGTCGACTTAAATCCAAGCTAGTTTTTCCTGTACAAATCTGGGGGGATGTACGTGTTGATGTCTTGTAGCTCCGGAGGAGCTGGTGAGCTCGTGATGCAATGCAGCAGACTCCATGTGCTGCCGGAATACTGTTCATTTGCTCATGAAAAACGGTTGCGAATCGATGCTTGTGGGGGTCCAGAGCGTGTGACAATGTAGCCTACGAGGATGATCACGGCTATTGTCATATGCTAGAAGAAAGTGACGAGAGTGAAGAATGCCATGTGTGAGGCTGATCCAGTCGGGTGGACCTCTTTGCGTCCTTTCAAGGATGCGGTTATGATAAGTTGGTTTGAATAGTTCAAGACCTAGTCCTTAGCTTCTGTTCTGCTGGTAACTGATCGACTGCTAGATCTGTACAAGGGATGATGTTGTCACGAAAGACGCTGTTGGCGCTCCTGCTTCTGGTTTTCTACAATTTGCAAGTTCGTAACCATGAGGCAGGTGGAGCTGCCCCTTCGTTGATTGTTTCTGCTGTTAAATATTTCCAATGCTGATTCTGATCTCACTGGTTTGCGCAGGTGTGTCTGAACTGAGCATTGTTTTGAAGCTCTCCCCGATGACCCTGCTGCCGGTTCAGATGTGTTCTACATTTGCATTTCTAAGGGAATCGTGAAAGAAGCTATCGCTGTGAGCTAAAAGATCGATTACTGTAGATGATTGTCAGCGCAAAAATTGAGTTCTGGGGGTACAGTTTCATAAGGATTCGAAGAGCGTATCGTTTGTCTCGTCGTCAAAGTGTCCTCTAATGATATCCTGTTGTCCTTTGCGCCAGGATCCCACAAGTGCCGCTGCACTTGGCAACCCTCGAGTTTTGTCAAAGCTTCAAGGCAACGGATCACTCCTGAGCACCTGTAATTCAGACTTTGAATGTGGCTCAGGCTTGTATTGCTTCAGTTGTCTAGCGGGAAGAATAATAGAGATTCAATTCAAGTGCATTCGGAGAAGGGTGAAGCCAATCTATGCCTTTCCAAAGGTCAATCAATCTCTACCTACGACTTGCTAATCAGCAACTGGGATCCAAAGCACTCAGCTACTAACCCTCGGCGATAAATTTAATAATGTTCACACTCAACGAGGGACCCACGAATTTGTACTGATCTATGAAGATGATGCAGGGTACGTCTCTGCCGTTCAATAAATACTCGTGGCTCACAACACACAACTCCTTTTCCATTTTCGGATCTTCTCCGCAAACTGGCGCCCCAATTGTCACCTTCTTCAACCAAGAGGACAGCGTGCTAGATCAACTCAATGTACTTACTCACAAGTCTGTGCAGTTGGCCAGTTCCGAACGGAATAGAATGTTTGTGGTAAAGTTTAGAAAGACCAATACGAAACAATACAGTCTCTTTGCAAGTCGAACGCTCTGTGACTGTACTAACAGGTTTGCAAGTCGTATCCCCCAATTACCCTCTAATTCTAGACAGAATGGACTTGCAGAACGGAGTACGAGGGTTGATGCTGGATATGTACGACTTCCGGAACGATGTTTGGCTTTGTCATTCCTTCGGAGGACATTGCCACGAATTCACCGCATTTGTAAGCTAATGTATTGTCGCATAAATGAGAATTCAAGGGTAGGACAAAATCCCTTCAGGATTCAGTGCACAGCTGATGGTAAACTTGACCCCATCTGACTGCCTCAACACCCAAATTGGATGCAGAGGCCGGCAAACGAAACGCTGGCAGAGATCAGGACGTTTCTGGAAGCAAATCCGACAGAAGTTGTCACCATTTTCATAGAAGACTATGTGCTCACTTTAAACGCCATTACAAAGTTGTTCACGAGCGCGGGCCTAACGAAATACTGGATGCCGGTGGCCGTGATGCCATCTAATGGTAGTTTGTGGCCAACCTTGGAAGAGATGATTCAACGAAATCACAGGTTGGTTGTCTTCACACAAAACGAAACGAAGGAAGCAACGGAGGGAGTGGCGTATCAGTGGCGCTACACAACTGAAAATCAGTGTAAGTTCTCGTAATCCTAATGACTTAACTACAGTGATTCATTGTCGTTTGCTCCTTAATGGTGCTAATTAGGAGAAAAAAAGTTGTTAAAGATGATGAATGACTTATTTATGCAGATGGGGATAGCGGGCTTTGGAGCGGCTCGTGTCCAAGACGGATCAATTCCACAGTTCTGAATGATACGAGCCGGTCTCTCATCGTACAAAACTACTTCCCCACCAACCCCAATGCTATCAATGCGTGCCGAGACAACTCCGAGGGACTCTTCAACATGTTGAGAACGTGTTACATTGCCGCTGGCGACAGGTGGTCCAACTACGTCGCTGTGGATTTCTATAAGGTACACACACAAGTTGCTCTAACTCTTCATTGCTATCTTGTTACACATGCTTAAAAGCCTCTTCAAACCTCGAATTAGGGCAGTTACCAATGCACAGAGGTCGCAATGTCAAGCTCAAAAAACACAAAATTGAATATGCAGAAACCCTGACTTGAGTCGATGGATTTAAACCTTCACCGGTCGCTCGTTTCACTGCAGAGGAGCACTGGAGGTGGAGCGTTTCATGCTGTCGATTTCTTGAATGAGCAAATGCAGTGCAGCTGTCAAGATGCTACCAAACCTTGCTCGGTAAGCTTCCACCCTAGTCCGCTTCATAGTTCCTAAACCACACCGTGATTAAAACATCTCGGTTCCTCAGCTTCCAGTACTCTCCGTCGTGCTTCGGGATTATGCAAATCATCTGGGTGGACTGGATCGGGACCCACATTGGTAATATGGTCGTCAGCGGCTCCGCGTCTGACTCTTGTATCTTGTGCGTGACGAAGTGTTTACCAGGCTGATGTTGGGCACGAATTCAAGGGCCAGAACAGGGAACGTTCAACCAAGCTTGCCAACACTATACGCACACATATTCACACACACAAACCAGTGGATGGCTTCCGAGGAGCATTCTTCCTCGTGACCACCATCAGCACTTGAAGCCTTTCTCCGAAGTGTAGATAGCAAATGATAGCTAGAAGAATAACCTTTCCTACAAGGGCTGAGACAAATTGCTTGAAACTGTGCACAAGTACCTCAAAATAGGATCCAGAGAATACACAAGTTCTGTATGTTATACAAAAACTGTTCCAGGGGATCTGTTACAGATTTATGGTGCAACGAGAGAGTAGTAATGTGGAATGCACGAAGCTCAGCAACTTGCACCGATTATTGCAAGAAAGTTACAAAAACAGACAAACAAACATATGAGGGTGCGTACATACAAAAAGAAGTCTTTGCAATTGGGTATCACAGCAGACAATGAGTACAATGAAATGAATGGATTTGATGTAGGAGTGACTTCTTCTGAATGCCATTGCTGATGTGATAACTGTCGTTTTAAAGCCGATATGAAACTGACGTTGGGTTGTGCTTGAATGCTGCTTAGTTCATCTTTGTTGTCTCTTCATGTTAGTTTGCATTGGAGATTTGAAATTGACCACTAGTTTCATGTGCACATCTTGGGTTTGAAACAACATTAAGAGAGTGGTTCTGTATTTGTTTGAAGTGTTTACTTTTTTGAAAAAAAAAACTGATTATGTGAAGAGTGTATTGTGATTTAAGTGAGTTTATTTTATTATTATTATTTTTTTTTTGTCTGTGTGCGTGTGTGTTTTTGTTTGTTTGTTTGTTTGAAAAGTTGATTTTTGTGATTACATTATTCTTTTGTGCGATTTACTCTGACATTGTATTTTGGCAGTTAGTTCTTTTGAGTATTTTTTTAATAATTTATTCTAAATTTCAACTAGAGCAACATTCCTTTGATCTTGAAAAACATGTTAAATAATAAAATTTAAAGTGTCAAAGAAGCAAAATTGAATGTAGTTAAATTGACACAACAATATTTTCTTGGAAACTATCATATTTTATATTTTATTTGTATAAAATTTAACTAAGTATTTAAAAAAATATTGAACAATCAAATCTATGCTACCAAATGTACATTTGTGTATATTTATGAATGTCTACATATCTACTTTATATATAAAAAAATAATATTTGTTTGTATATTCACAAAAAACACTAATTTTTTGAGGTTATTAGCATTGTTTCCATATATATATATATATATATATATATAATTATTTATTTTTGAAAAACCACAACTAATATTGTATATTGTGAAATGCTTCAATAACAACAAATGATTTAGTAGCTAAATGATTTTCACAATCATTTAGCCTTTTAAATAGATTTCTTCCAGTGTATATGTATGTGTATATATATATATATATATATATATATATATATTCTTTTTATATATCTGATTTCAAGAATTAAATTTATTTATATAATTTTATTACTTAAATTATGTAAAATTTAGTTATTACATAATTTAATTTGAGCTATATAAATTTTATAAATTTTAAAAAGTGAATAAAGTTTCTTAAAATTTTAATTTTTAATTTAATTTTTAAGTTTTTTGTTTTTTATCTTTTATGCATTCTTTTTGTTTTTTTTTTTGCCTTTTTGTGTATTTTTTATAAATTTTACGTGGAAAATAAATATATAATAAAGTTAATAATTAGTGAATATAATTGCTTAAGGGCTTTGTTTTATATAAAAAAAATTGCATTAATATTAAAATTCTTATTTTTTTGTGTTTTAATAGAACATTACTATCTCAAAAGAATGTTGCATCCAAAAATAAAATAAAATATATAATTTCTATGCATTGGGATACATTTTTTGAAATTTAATCTAGTAGACCTCAATATCAGATTAAAAGCTTTATCAATAAACATTACAATCTACTAGCAAAAGAAATTAATTGCATTATACAACATAATGCATATTCATTTTTTTTTAAAATCAATATAGTTTGTAAAATAAAATATACATTGCTACTATAATTTTTAGTCAATATTTCCACTTCAATAATTTATACACTTATATGTTTCATAACTAGTCAAGTTCTATTACATAAACTATTTGCAACATTACTAGAATATCAATTTTCAAAAGAAGCTAATAAATTAACACTGTGTTCATTTCCAAAAGATTTAGACACTATACAATAACCACTTAAACACCAACTTAATCAATATTATTCATTAAAACACATATATATATATATATATATATATATATATATATTTTTTTTTTTCTAAAGAAAAATCTATCCTTGATCAACAACATAATTATTTATTATTAAGAATTTCTAAATTATTTATTTTTATAAACACAAACTCCCAAATGATCAATATCCAAACTCATATTACATTTTTTATTGTAATTTATATAACTTGGAACAAGATAAAAAAATTATGACATGTTTCTAATGATAATAAATCAATAAAAAAATGAATTTTTATTAATAATACTACAATATCTACTCTAACATTGTTCAAAATCACTTCAAATACTTGTTGAGAAATTAGACTTGAAATTGCACAGATATAAAGAAAACACATACACTTAGGTGATCCTATGATCCAATCAGTGCATTTACCTTCAATTGATTTTATATGCAACATATATAACTTCGATTAATTTTAAATACAAAACATATACTTGTATCATGTCCACTTAATTTTAGCTGAGGCTTTATAGGTTTGCATGTTGTTCAGGATTGCCAAGATAAGACATACCTACAACATTACTTGTCAAAGATTACCTCAAAACATAACAATAATATCCTCAAATGGATTGATTCTTGTTGGTCATATTGCAAAAAATTTGGTCCAAAGTCTTACACAATCCACAGAAATTGGTATCCAAGAGATGGAAAATGACAAAAGCGTGTGGTCTCCGAAGGATCATGAAGCCACCGACAATGAAACTGCCGCTATGAGACACGCAGATTGATGAACAAGGTTTTGATCTTCTTTCCGTTGTCGTCAACTAGGATGCCGTCGATGGAATCGCTCACGTTGTCGACCAGTGCCACAGTCTGGCCATCGTTAAGAAAGAAGGTGATCACGCTGTTGTTCATGCGGTTGGTCACGGTGAACCAGCCACTCCTGCCGTTGCTAGTGCATGTGTGGTGCATCCACTGATTTGGCTGGAGTTCGTCGACGGATTCGTTGGGGGTTCGGCGTCACCACTACCGTGTTGTGCGATGTCCAGTTCCGGATCTTTACGACATAATTGACGTTGGTTAATGTTGAGACGACCAGAGCAAGTCGCAACAGGAATGTGAAGCATGAATGAAGTTGTGGCAGAGATGATTTAGTTTGTGCCATTCCGGTTACGGCCAGTGGCTACGCACCCGCCAACCGTGTGATGTAATCACAGGTGAAAGCTCAAATGGTTTTCGATGCGTCTAGCCGGCTCAGTTTCAGAGATCAGAACAGGAAGTTTGGCGGACTCGGGGCACTTGGAAACACAAATTCCCATGGTTCCTACTAACCATTGACACAAATACAATAGATATATATATATATACACATATGCTTCTATAATCGACTCTACACAGAAAGACAAGAACGCGTCTGATTTCAAGGAAGTCAGATTTTTAGTTCTGCGTTTCTCGATGTCAATCTTTGTCTCAAACTCATCAACGTGGCCACGATCTAAAAAAAACTTCACAGATGTCAAAAAAGAAACTCAGGGTACTACATCCTACCTCAACGAAACCCACGAAATCGTTCTGTACCCGATCGTATCGAGTAGCACAAAGACATCAATCTTCTCGAAACGTTTTTAACGACGAGTGTGGCATAAATGTAATGACCGCGGCCACGTAACTCATCTCCACACCGTTCCTTCTTCGCAGTCCGGTCACAAGCTGGGTACTAAAATGCAATAGAGCAAGCGATTGGATAGATGGACACAAACAAGAAGCACGAGTATGTGAGTGAGTGAGATGAGGCCGTGTGGGTGTGCACGGAGGAGGAGGATTCCGTCCCGTGGAGCCTGGATTGGGGATTTGCAACGCAACGCAAGCTCGGCGAAGTAGTAGTTGTTCCACTACGACCATAACTACTACAATTGCATGCAGATTAGGTGATGTGCGGGTGGGGATATGCTCTTGCCGGACGAGGAATTTGCGTGATGCTTTGTACAGAGGCTCATATACCGGTTCTCTAATGGGGAATCTTCGGGCCTGTTTCGGAGCCCGGCATATTTCCTGACGCTTTTGAAGGAGCCACGTTTCTCTGCCGCTGCTCAAGGGCTCGTGTGCATGTATTCGTTCGTTGGTGGAAATTTATGTTGGTATAGTTCATTTTTAGTTGGTATTGTTTTGTGACGAGATTATTTTATTATTATTATAAAGATCATTGTGTTTTTTTTTTTTTTTTTTTTTTTTTTCAATATTTTTGTTGACAAAGTAAGAGCAAAATTTTGACCAATGAATACGTTTGTTAATATTCTTCGTTGATTATAATTTTTAATTTTTAATTTTTATGTTGTAGCTCTTGTATTTATTTATTTATTTTTTACTTTCTTAATTTACATGATGAAATAAGTAATTTATTTCCCCATCACTGTGAAAAAGTGTAACTTGATTGGTAATTGTATTGGAGAATGAAGAGCACTTTATGACATTGTTGTAGTTTTCTTTTTGTTCTAGTTCCACTAGATCATGTTCATGTGCAAAGACTTGCACATGTCTCTTCTGTCTTTGGATTCAAAGTCTTTGGTTAATGAAAACCAACATAAGTTAATAAAATTCAAATGATTGAATGAGTATTGAATGAGTAATAAGTAAACGAAGAATAAGTTTTCTCAATGAATGGCTCTATGTTCACAACATGTCTCTTTTGTTAGTGAATAGAACAGAGGGGAATTATCTGAAAGTTCACGTCGGCACCGATAAAGTAAAAGGCAAAATGAAAATGGTCGCCGTGGATTAGGGTTTGTGATTTTCCCCGCAATTGATTCGTGAACACCTAGACGCACAATATTTGCTTGTGCACGTGCGGGATTCACGATTGAGGGAATGGAATCGAAATTGCGGTAAACTCGATTCAAAGGATAATAGATTCTGTGTTCCGGAAAGCTTGGTTTTGAAGACAGACGGCGAGCTTTCAAGCGAACGGAAAGAGCAGGTTGAGCGACAGACTAGACCTTGGTCTCGAATTTCGCGGGGTTTGAGTAGGTTCAATTTCGAGCGATGGGAGGTTCGTGCATGCTTGGCGAATCGTATCATTTTTAGGATTCGCTGGATTGAACATGGCAGGTTGCGAGGGGCCTTAAGAAAGTGAGGCGACTTTAGAGAAGACGAATTGTAGGTGAATTGTTTGCTGAGCGTGGGCTTTTCACTCAGGTAGCTTCTCTTTCTCGTGAGTGTGTTGCTTGAATTTGCACGTGAATGAAACTGTCTGGTTACTGTTACGGTCTACTGAATTGTTCTAATTCCTAGGAGAACGGAGAAGCTAAGCATGATTATAAAAATTTGTGTTTTCCAATCGATTGAAATTGCGTGTTCTCCAGGATATGTAAGTAAAGTTGGCCGGAAGAATGTGGCTCTTTCTTTATTAAAGCGTAATCAGTCCTGGAGAGATGGTTTTATCAACTCCGATAACAATCCCAGACTCTTTAGCTCAAGATCATCCTAACTATGTTGGTCCATGGCTTGTGGAAATAGGTTCTGTTGAAGATAAGCTCGCACGTTAAGGGATGGAAGTAAGGCCTGAAGCTGGTGATGCATCTCCTGCGAAGAAAATGAAGAGGGAAGTCTTGGGAGTAGAGATGATTTTGAAGCAGACCGCGGAGATAGGGATGGTATTGGTTGGCATGGCAGCCCTTCGAGACGGTGCTCCGCCTACTTCATTGGAACGCCATTTAGCGATCAAGGCTTATTCGAATTTGGAAGGGCTGGTAGAATGTGTGGCACCTAATGATTTGGTGTCGAAGAAATCCTTGCAATCCTTGATTCAGCAATTTAGCTCGCCACAGGTATTGATGCGTGTGGTACGAACTTTTGTTGTGTATGCCTGTATTTTGTTAATCAATGATTGAATCAATTATATTCCAATCCCTTTTTTGATCTGTTTCTGTGTGTGCACAAATACTGTCCTTGGCAATGCCGAAATTATAAATTATTGAATCTTATTACTGGGAGAGTTTCAAAGTTAATGTTTTCACGGAAGTTTCACTGCACTGATAAGCCTCTACTAGCCCATGTGAGTATATAAACACTGAATGAGTTTATATACTAATTTTCGTCTTTTGTTGTGAAGGATTCCACCTTGCGACCTGTGTCGTTACCAATACCAGCGCAGGATGTTTCGACCCCCGCCTCGGTAACTTTACCAGCACCAGCATCTACGAAGGCTGCAAGTACTTCTGGCAAGTGCCTTCCTAGCTTCTTGTGTTCTAGATTTCTGAGTAACCATTTTAAAGTTTTTGTGTGTTTAACTTTTATATTGTAGTTTATGAATGTGAATATGCACCTTCCCATTCATGAACATTTTTCGTGTGATTGAACTTAATAGAATCTACTCTTCAAGTTTGATCTCAGAATTTCCTTTATGTGAGTCTGCGTCACTTGGCAATTTTACAAGTTGCTCGTTGCTAATTGCAAGGGATTTTGAGTGCTGTCGTTTTCGCCTTGGTTTCCCATTTGCCATATTTATTTCGTATTTATCATATGCATAATGTCAGATCTATTACGGTTGTAGTTTATGTTGTGATCATTTTCTTAGCAGTATTTTATTATCTTATTAATTTATTGCGATTTCTCTCTCAGGAAAAAAATCAAGTACTACCTCTATTACCGCAACATTGAAGCCTGCAGATAAACTAGGTGCCTCCAAAACTCCCATGACTCCCTTAAAAGATTTTTCAAATGTTTCGATTGTTGCCGTAGAAGATAGAGTTGAGAAAGGACCACCAGCCCTTGTCTTTAAAACTCCCTCAAAAGATTCTTCAAATGTTTCAATTATTGCAATGGAAAAAAGTGTTGAGAAAGTACCAACGGGCCTTGTCTTTAAAACCCCTATTTCTCCCTTAAGAGATTCTCCAAATGTTTCAATTACTGCCATGGAAGAAAAAGTTGAGAAAGGACGAACAGCTCTTGTCTCTAAAACTGCTGTGTCTTCCTTAAGAGATTCTTCAAATGTTTCAATTACTGCCATGGAAGAAAAAGTTGAGAAAGGACCAACAGCCCTTGTCTTTACAACTCCCATATCTCCCTCAAAAGATTCTTCAAATGTTTCAATTACTGCCATGAAAGAAAAAGTCGAGGAGGGGCCAACAGCCCCTGAAGCAGAGATTGTGGAACGAGCACGTGAAGTAGAGGCTGTTGAACCTCAAGTTGACCAAAAGAAATATCTCCAGGAGATTGCCCTCGAAGTAGGCTTGTTAGAATCGGAAGTTGTCACGACGGTGTTACCAGAAATGGCGAGTGCATATATGAATTCGCCAATCACATGTGGCATTTGCAAGGTACTGGTAAATGATTCAGCAAGTGTCTTGATTTGTGATGGATGTGAAACTGGGTTCCACTTGATCTGCCTTCAAGCTCAAAAGGTCTTGGATATTCCTGGAAAGGACTGGTATTGCACAAAATGTTTGACGGCTAACGGGGGTCGACCAAGGCAGCCTATATATGGTCCCATACGCCGAGGACCAGGAAGGCCTGGTTCCAGAACTACGTGGATTTTGAAGGTACTACATGTCACGAATATGCTCTCTTATTAATAGATGGTATCATATTGAATTACTGTGTTATATGGTTACTTCGAGCATTGTATGAGAGGATGAGTAAGGATAGAGATGGTCTACAATTTATTCCAGACTTTCAGGTTGTATGTGATGTACTTTATCGCTGGTTTATCTTACTTTAGCTTTGGCTGCAGAGTGCCTGTGGTCACCACTCAACGAAAGTGTCATGAAGACCTGATGTGCTTTTAAAGAGGAGAGTTCGTAATACTGGCGCATCTCACGAAAGGGAAAGTCTTAATTTCACAAAGGCATCACTGGAAGTTCATACTGCGAAGGATTCTCATTTGGATTCGTCAAAGGCATCAGCAAGCCTTTCATGAACAGAGCATTCAGTGTGAAGTTCAATTCTTTCTTTTGGTCTGATAAATTATTATCTATTTTCAGGTATGTAATGAATCATGCTGGGAACTGCATACATAATGAGGTGTCAATTGTTCCACGTATTTCAAAAAGTAATAGAGTTCCTCCACGGGTGCGTTTCTCTTCTGTCTTCAAGCAAGTCGGAATTACTGATTTGTTAATCTCTCCCAAGAACCTACTTATCTATGTTTTCATATGTTATCTGTCATGGTTGCAGGCGCATAGTTGAAGTCAAACCAAGCTCATTTCAATACTACCTGAAAGTCTCGAACAGAACGTAGTGTATCAGTCTGAATATGAAATCATCTCATTTTTTAGTGTTAAGTAGTACTTGATTCTGTTTATGTAAGTCGAGTGTATATTTTGTAGAAACATAGGCTTAGATCATTCAATGTACAATTTAGTTTTGTGTTACTACTGCCGGTACCTGTTTATAGACGTGAAAACAGCCCATTGCTGTCATTTATGTGATGTGTCCAACCTTCTCCTGATAAAAAGCCTACCTTCGCTGTGAGTTTTTTCTGCTCGAGCGTAATGGGCGGAGACAAACCGATATGAAGACTGATTCTACTCCAAACCTGAAGTTGAGGTTGCATGCCTGAATATTTTATTCCAATTATTGCCAACATTATCAGTTGACATTACACCTGTGCAACTCTTCTGATCCCATCCGTCGAAAACCTTCGGGGCAGACTGGCTGGCCATTGATAGTATATGAAATTGGTATGGTGGACGACTTCGCAGCTGAAATTATTTTCCTTCCCTTCCATCTATCGACGGCACATTTTTTAGAAGAAAAAGCCTAGGTTTGATCCAAGCACACCATCTATACTAGTTTTGAGATTTTTACATTGCTGTTTTGGTGATATATCCCTCTAGCTGTTGATCTTAGTAATTCGGTCGTGGTTTTAAGCTGTTATATATTTTTTTTTATTGTCTCTAGATCTCAAAGTGCTTTATGCAGCTTTCCGCAAGGTCAATAACCAACTAGCCGCGTCGACCTGTTTTGATAATTGCAGGGGAGGTCTTCCAATACGTTCAAACGACCAGTAGCGTAATATGCTGGGAAGTACTTACGAAATGTTTTTGCAGATTGGTGCCGCAGTTCCTCGTTCTAAAGTCGGTTAGAGATCAATCAATTGCTTACTTCAAACATAACTCTCGGTATTGCTGTAGTGGAACATTCGTGACCAAATCTGTCGAAGGGCAGTGATCCACCTCATTCAATATCATTAGGTAATTTTTGTATTCTAATCTCACTAGTTAGTCTCTTCTGCTCTGAGAGTAATGTCCTTGGGATTTATATTCGGGTTCATGAAGTCACTAGCTGAATGATTGAGCAACAATATAGCCGTCATAAGATCAGTTGGAGAAGTAACTACGAGTTCAAATCAGATAAATTTGAGTAGTTTCTAACACAATTTCCGAGATTATACGTCAACTTGTGACTCATAGTTGCATTTATATTGTTAAAATTTTGTCGCATTAAAGTTAGACACCATGGAAATAAAGTCCTTGTTAATTATTCTCATGTCAATGGAATGTTCCCGTAATTTGATGCTATATTTCTTGCCTAAGTGAAACAGGAGTGCGTCACATAGATCAAGTGTTTTGTCTTAATTCAAAGTGGACCTTCAGAACATGAGATTAGACAACTTTATGGAGAAGAAATCAATGAGGAGAACTCGTTAACAATTAATCACCGCTTTCTATTTGGCTTGGCGCTGCGACTTGGTCTCGATTTCTTGGCACTCTTGGAGCGGTTTCCGACCATGTTGGGAGCAGCAGTAACGGAAGGCTTGAATTTATACAATTTGGAAGTTGGATGTTTATGGATACGGCCTTTGCTGTGCAGACGCTTCACGGCAGACTGCAGCATTTTCATGGTGGTGGATTTGAAGGGTGTGCCGCCATACCGCTTCTCCATGAGGCGCTTGAGCTTCACCATGCTGGCTCCTCCCTCGTGCTTGAGTGCATGTTCTACGTCTTTCAGTAGTGAGAGGTAGGTAGGGGTACGGCGACGATGTTTAATAGAGGAAGATTTCTTCTTTGTGATACCTCTCGATGACCTTATTGCGAAAGGCTTGCGACATTGTACCGAACGTCGCCTTTGGGCATTTTGTTTCATGTCTGAGTGAGTTTAACCTCGTTTTTCCTCCTAAGAAGCCCTTGAAGTCCCAGGGATCAGCAAAGCCTATTGCTATTTGAGCACGATTGTTGGCTGGGGCTAATAAACTATGATTGTAAAGAAATGGATTAGTTTGTGCAAGGAACTGTAATATCTTCTTTATTCAAGTTTGCGAATAGCTGAGTAATCTAGTCTGCGAACCGACAATAAGCTTGGATCACCACAAGTAATACACAGCCTTAGAGCTGGCGTGCATACTCGATCAAGGAAATGAAAGTGCTCCAAGACTTTTCAACAGCGTTTCAACTCTCGTGTTTTTCGAGAACGTTCTAAATCTAACTTCACCCATGCCTCAAACTCTGGAAGAAGTCCAACTTGCTTGAAACCTTCCGAATCCCTTATTACAATCAACCATGTATCGTATTGTACGTTCGTATCTTGATTGTTGATGATCCAATGCACGAAGGAGAAGGTAGAGAACTCACGTTCTTTCTACCCGGCGTCTTTATTCTTGAAGGAACGGTTACAACACACTATTCACATCATGCACATTGTGGATCAAGAGCGTACAAGACAATTTGCCTAGTGGGTGACACTTGGGTCACGTTGCATTCAGAAAAGGTGACCATCTCACTTCAGCGGGACATGGAAGCGTTTGACATGAATTCTCAGAGATTCTTATTTAGCACAACAATTTTAGAATTGGGAATTCGGGTGCATGGTCATGCAGCTCGCCCCCTGCAAACCTCCTTATTTTACTGACATGTGAAGTTGTCTTGAACTGTGTAAACAGGGTGATAATCAGTAGGGCAAAACTCGTTTCTCATATTCAGGTGCTTGCTCAAGGAGGCGAGCGCCAGCACCTCGAGTGAATTTCCTAGCAAACAAGTAGCACGGAAGCGCTTTGCCATCAATGCCACAACGTTCGCGCCGTGAAGCTGCCACGAAGTGTATCTCATTAATGCCCTGACAAGACGCAATGCTTCATCGTCAAATTTCGAACTTATGGTGGAGTATATGTATATATCAATAAGATAAAAGACTTCATGAAGAGAACTAACTATACCTGGATGCCTTTAATGGCCTCTAGAGTAGTTTTTGCGGCGTCGAATGTGATGGGATGCCAACCTCGTCTATCCATGGTGTGTTGATGAGCACTTTTCCATTGACTGTACGTCACACCTCGCGGCTCAATTTCTTTCTCCAAATTCCTCATCTTAACAGATCACCCACAAGTTTAGTTCGAGTCTTCCCTCTCCATACACAATTTCGGTATAAAGCAACTAGAAAGCTCAAGTTCCATGACAATACAATTAAAAGAGAAGACAAAGCTGGTCGGCACTAACAGCTAAGAGCGTTTGTAGGTAGTGCTCATCAGGGATGCAGTTGCTGTTCCAATTGTTCTGCAATGACATGGATCTGGTCAGATACAATGCATCAAATCTACACCGCAACGGCATTGTAAACGAGATATGCGTTTCATGGTGAAATACTGAAGGCATGGGTGAATCTTGGCTTACATTTGCAGATGCAGCAAACTCAGGCAATGCTATTCTCTGCAGCAAACCAAGGATCAAATAATCAAGAGAACGACGTCATATCGCTGGATAACGGCTTAGTATCTTGTACAGAAAAAGGAATTAGGATGCGTCGGGAAAATAAGGTCCAGGCAGAGAAATAAGTCCTACCTTGCAGTAACGTTGAAACACCGGAAACACGGTGGAGTCTTTGACAACTGCAACTGCATGCTTGCGAATCAAGACAAACCACTGCCATATCCCACCAGCTCGTGATCATTTCCTCAACTTACAGAACATCCTCTTCTAATTGTGTGCATCACTACCTTTGTTCACATCCTTCGTGAACACGAGGAGCCGTAAGAGAAAGACGAACACAACATGTACCTGCGAGCCCTTGCGCCACTTCTCCTTCCAAATAGCTGGTGCCATCTTGTGATTGTATCGCACGTCGTGAGCGTCCTTAAAGCTGGTGTGCGGAGGGAAACCACCATATCAGTGATCACAAACAAAACGGCATCTTACAGAATTGACTCTTAATCAAATCGCGTGTGCCCTGTGCTTGGATGGACGGTTCATCAAGGCTCAGCAAAAGTATCTGAGAACAAGTGACTCCATGAGGGAGAGTGACATGGACAGTGCACCTGTCAACAAAGCTCTTCTGGCAGAACATGACATAGTCATAGATGTAGCGGAAATTGTACAATGGAATACAGCTGTCAGATAGCAGAATGAAGCGCTGGTTGAGAGGGTCTCGGAGAGCCTCCTGTAGGAGCAGACGCTCCGCTTGTAACATGCTGGCCTCTCCCCACTCTACCTGCCAGTTGACATCCTGTGCTCTCAGCTTTCATTCTCCAACAAAATCACAAACAAGAACTCGCAAGAAAAGGCATGCGAACATTCTTACCTGCAATGTACAGCGCCGGATTACCGACAACTTGCAGTGATCTTGCTGAACTTACCAGAACAGGTTTTTTTAGCTGCCTGTTGATGAAGGCCGAGCACTTGGTGTTGTTTTTCGTGTACATAAATCCAGGTCTTGCGTGTATGTAGACTGTGTACTTATCTTTCCCTGCTCCCTGAATCCCCTCCACCTCATGAGTAAAAGGAACGCATCACTCAACCTAGAAAAGTAAATGACACCCATCAGGAGTCTCTGGTCTTTCTGTGACGGAGGGGTATGATCTCCGTAACTTGTGAGCAGGTACACAATATCGCTGCATGACTGCCGCTTCAGCAATCAAGCCATGGAGCGGGCACCATGGATACAGACTCTAAAGCAGGCACCACAGAAACAGGCATGGCCTTGAGCCAATTGTACCTGGAAGAAATGCTCCCACACGAAGTCCAGAGGCAGCTGGTGGCGCACAAGAAACAGAAATGCAATTTTGGAAGGAGGCTCCTTGGGTTGCTTGCTAGTTGTAGGAGTGAGGAGGGGAATGGAGGTCGGAGGCTCCAATTCAGATACTAGAGAGTGTAACTTGTAGAGAACTGCGAGAACGAGTAATGTAACGACTACTGGCGTGAGCATCCAATTGTAACGGCCGGGCTGCGCACGCGTCAGCGGCGACCCGTGTGATCTAATCTTCATGGCTGCGATTGCGGAATGTGCGTCATCGCCCCGCTTCTGCGAGCCTCTTGTTCACTATCACGGTCTCAAATTTGAACCAGCTATGGTGGTCATGGCTGCCGCTCCACAACCTCTGGAACCGGAGCACTGGCCCAGTTGCCGAACTCAGACACGCTACCGATCCCACCATGAGCTTCTAATTGACACACCTATGTTGCAAACAGGTAGCGGATCTTGCTTACTAACTAAAATCGCCTACAATGGCTCCGCTGCCGCAGTTTCGTCACCTGGCTGCACCACGCAAAAAATTAGAAGCGATTTCCTCAGTACGAAAAAAGGAATGCTATCCATAAAAATTCGAAGAACGCAGTATCACAGCAAATATGTAAGAGGATCACTACCACGGCTGAGACAATGTGGGTTAATATAGTATAACAAATTTTATTTATTTCACGAGATAAAAAGGTGTGCAGGAGCCATTTGGATTCAAACCCATAGAGAATGTTGCTCACCAAAATTAGAATGTCGAAGGAGGAGAGTGCTTCGCAGCCTGGCGTTTGTCTGTTCGAAGCAACGACCCACGCAGAGAAATACCAAAAGGCAGAAACCCTTACACTCGGCCATGGTTCTCTTCAAGAACAGCCATTTTCAATGTGTGAGATTAGTTGCGATGGGGCGATACAACCCATCGTTGAAAACCGAAATGCCAAGCTGAACCTCACGAATCGAAGCCTGCTCGCGGCGGCAGGTGCAGCGCAAGAATCTGCCAACATAGAAATTTCCGAGCAGAATATTAAGCTGGATGAGGCCGCCATGTACCACTCAATCTGCAATCAGGGAGCTCGCCCAACAGCCACTTCACTGGACCCACACTTGGCGCTTCGATCGATCAGCACCGACTTACCACCAACTCACGTCAACGACAAGCTAGTATTGGGTCAACAGCCTTTCTCTTCCCCTCCATCACTCCCTCTTTCACTCACTCACTCACTCACTCACCCGTGACCCGATTGTCACTCTGCCACACTCCAAAGTCGAGAGCACCATCAAAAAGCCAACAATCATCATGAAGAGTTTTTATCCACCATCGCTGGCGAATCTTCGACAACACTGGACGACTCTTCCAAGAGCTCAGACTCCACCACTACTACTACTACCACCACAACCGCTTCTGCCTGCCTGCCTGCTACTGCTGCTGCATCACTGGGGCCATACTCGCGGCGTACTATCAACCCTGGGCACACATGCTCCTCCAAAAGCTGACACATACCCATGTGGAGACGCCACCATCAGGCTTGTTTCTCTCTCGCTCACCCCATCATCATCATCATCACCACACTCCTGCTCACGGACGATCGTGAGTTATCTATCCTCCGCCTGTTGCCGAGCTAAAAAGATTTTTTCACTTCAATATACCACTCACACTACCCGCTCGTACACTGGCTAGATCTGCAGCCCCACCTGCAGGGCCTGAGCTATCGGCCGCTGATTTTCAGCCTGCAGAGGACTATGTCGTTCTGATTCTCCAACATGAGGAATGTTACAGCTTGGCGATTAGCTCAACTGCCAATCGGCATGAGCAATTGTCTCGAGAAGTCACTTCACCGACGAAATAAGCCACATCAATGAACCATCCGGAATCATCGGAGGTCGGGGGACACTCGCTGGTGCACATTGTGATTGACTACATCGATGATAAATAAATAATTTAATAAATACAACATTTTAAAAAAAAATGTTTATTTATAAAACGGACGCTACCTCTCCAGCTCCCATTCCCTGCAGTTAACGTCGCACCCAGTCTGATGTGATGCAATGCGATGAAACGAAATGAATGAGCGAGTGCAGCGATGCTTGAATGCACGCATGTGATCACACGCGCGGCGATTGTCGCCATCGCGCTAAACTTACATCTTTTTTCTCTCTAGCGTGTGCCCGCCGCAGCATATCTTTGACGCGCCTCACATCATTCGCTTCAATTTATGGCACCACACCCTCCCAAATCACCACCCCTTGACGAGTTTTATTTTTCTTCTTTCTTTCTGTCTTTTTTCTCATTTTCTATTGTCTCCACCAACGCCGTGTACGACAAAGCTTCAATTCTCATCTCGATGTTTTATTTTTATTTTTTAGAATACTGCAGACATTGAATATGCGGTGTTTTGCATCATTGCAGTGAATGGGTATTTTAACTATAGGGCCATCTCACGGGCCCTATGTATGAAATCATTCGCTTCAGTTGGCGTTGCTTTTGTAGCCTAGAATGGCACTTCCTCGGCCAGATCGGTATAGAACAAGATTCACTGTTTCCTTCGCAACAAAAAAATCTGATAAGATAAAAATATAAAATAAAATAAAATAAAATAAATCCACTTTTCACAAATTATTTGCAGCTCTGAATTGAGTTTCTGTTTTTTGTGGTATTTATTTATGGGAGAAATGGAGGAAATGAGTGAGAACTTCAATATGGGTTCTGAGTGCCAGGTCAGAGAATGATGAGGTGGATGTCCACGTCATCCATGTTGGCTTAGGCTGGGTGGGAGGTGGATATGCAACAAAGAGTCCTTGAGAGTGGATAGGCATGATAGTTTTTGCTCTTGTTTGTTCTTTTTTATGTATGTATATGAATGATTAGACTTAAATTCAATCGTTCTTTTGCACTCTTTAATATGATAAGTAGTTTTGAGACGAAATCAACAATAGATAGATAAGTTGTTATAAGTAATAAAGATTATACATTGTTATTTTTCTTACTATACGATTGGATACTTGTATAATACTTTGGCTTTATATCTTTTAGGAATAAGTAATTATTCTAATCTTAGTTTACCTCCCATTAAATATGTGATGATCACATTGCTTGCAAAATATTAGTAATATGCTATTAATAACTATAATATTTTTTAAAGAATTTTTAAAAAGAAAAAACCCGTATAATTACATTATAAGTCATCACAAAGTAAGTCATCATCAATAAAAATTGTGATATCAAGGTTGTATCTCTTTGTAAATAGGATGTCTTATCTAGTCCCCTTATACTTCAAATATTTAGTGATATTATTCATGTTTGATTTGGTTTAAATTTTGTTTGTAAATGAAGTTTTCTTTTTAAGAAACTCCAATCCACAATTAACCCTTACTTAGTTTCAATCTTTGTTGCTAAACACTTACTCCTTTAGTATAAGGGAGTAAGAAATGGTGCAATTGTGTACGTGCCTAACTGACTACTAAAGCAATGCACCAACTTCTTAGCCAAGGCTCAACCATCCTCTCTCTCCAAGCACTCCTCTTACATATATATATATATATATATATATATTTATATTCAATCATAGATATATATACATATATATTCAAGATACATTTTGACTCTATGCTATGATCAAATATTGAAGTGACATAATACAGTGCAATAATTTTACTAATTTGCCCAAATCACAAACTATGTTTTCACTTCTGTAATAAGTAGTTGAAATAGTGGTTCTTGCATATTCCTTTTGTTTTGTTTTGTTTTGTTTTTCTTACAGTCCAGTGCACAAGTGGCTGATATAGTCTATTATCAAGGCCCTTTTTTCAAATCGATCATAAAGCTAGCCCAGTCTTTGGAGCTACTTGCTTTATGAGCTTTTGGCAACTATGTTGATTTGCTAGGACAAATGGGCCACTAACTTATGCTAGTGTTTCAAGCAATCCAAACTGCAACACATTTTTGATGGATTCAGCTGACAAATACAAACACTCTGCAACATCGTTTACCAGCTCTTCCACAATGAAAGCCACATTAAAGTCCTCCATTGCAGATTCAGTTTCTTACCCTGGCAATGATGTGAATAGACAAAACCAGTTACAGATACTAAGTACTGTTTGCATGCCAGAAGTAAATGCTGGTGGACAACAAAGGCATCTTTAGAACGACTGTAAACTCGTGGCAGTGGCGCATTAGACACACACTCAGCTACGATGAGTGAAGAGATCACGCTGTTCCTTGGTTTTGCGACACACACCGCTTAAATGATGGGCATCATAGAAGCTTTTGCAATGGAAAACTCTTGTAATTATCTATTGACATTAAGCGAGACGCACGCTACCTGGGACAACTTTCATTGCTCGGCTAACAACAGTAGCAGTGACATGTTAGTTAACATGCCTGGATCGAGAAGAACACCTGTTGCGGAGGAATGGACGGGATGCGGTTCCTGAGCGACATCACTCGACCGGGTCGGTGAAGAAAGTTTCCATGCTCCAGCCAAAACATCGTGAGTCACCCACAGTTGTGCCATTTCAAGCCGGTGACAACCCCGACCTCCAGATTCCGCAGAAACTCAGGGCAGCTCCGTCGTGGAAAGATATCCACCGTGTCACAGACCACGTCGCATCGAGTGATTCGCTCACAAGCGAAGATCTTTCTCCAAAGCCACTTGTCACGACGCTGCAATTCACCGGCCTCGTCAGCGGCAACCATTTAAAAACTCACTACTACTTCCCCGCCACTGCAACAGATCTCGCACAGTAGTTGACAGTAGTTGACAGTAGTTCCAGCAAGTTTGCAATCAAGTTTGAGGTGGTCTGTGAGAGTGAGAAAGTTTCTTTGGAGCGCACACGAAGGGTTTTTTTTCTGTTTCTTTTCTCTTTTTTCGTTTTTTCAGATCGAACGTAGAAAGAGATTTACAAAGATGCATGACAGGAGGGATGGCCAGGGAGTTTACACTCCAGTTGCTCCCGCTGGAGTAGCAGGCACAGGAGGAACGGCAAACTATCCCGCGAGTCAGAAAGATGGGTATGGCTACGACGCAACCAAGGGTGCGAACACGATGCCAACGAAGGCTGGCTATGGTGGCTACACCAATTACGACAACAACAACGTCAACAAGAACAACAACAACTATGTGCATCCGCATCCCCAGCAGCAGAATCAGAAAGGAGACTACGTCGCCACGCCCATGAGCTACGGCGGCGACGGGGTTCCCATTACCGTGGACCGGAAGCGGCACCGGATGCGGAACGCGGTCTTGGGTGCCCTTGCGGTGTGCTGCTGCTGCGTGGCTTTGTAGACACACGACACTGGGCCTATTCCCGTTCGTTCACCGTATTATTGCTTATTAGTTGGTTGGTGCTGTTGATATTAGTTACTTACCACATTCAAAAGGATGGTGATGGTGGTGCTGCTGCCGGTTAGTAAATTGACTACTGGGTTGGTTAATTAATCAGGTATTTTCATGTGGGTGAGAGTGCATTAGTTCTTGAGCAATGGCAATTAGACATTCTCTTCATGCCAAATTGGCCTCTCCCATTTGTATTTTTTTTGTATATATATATATATATATATATATATATATATTTGGTAACAACTGAAATTCTTCAGATTCAATGTGCACATATGTGGGCAAACAATGTCCACTTATTTGTGTGTGTGTTTTTTTTTGGTTTACAAAATGTTACGAGGTCAGTATTTTTTTTGATAGGTTTCTATTTGTCTATGTTGACTGTTTTTCTTGTTAACTCACCAACTACTTTATTATTATTTATTTATTCATTTTTAATATAGTTTTTATCTCATTTTTCAGTGTAGCTATGGCATGATATTTTCATTTTTTTCATTTTTTCAGTTTATGTGTTGTGCATTCATACAGACTGTATCTATGGCCATAAATATGGAGTTAAGTCCATTCCTTAACATTCACTCTCTCACAGAATTTTCTCAAAAAACGAATTCAAGAATGTTCTAGTTTTCTTCTAAAATATCAACAATACTTTTCTTCCTTTTTTCAATTTTTTTATAATAAACTTGGAAAAAAAAACCAATGCACAAACTTCTCTATGAGATATTGCATCATGAAATGTTACAGGTTTGAAATCAAAGCCTTTCCAAACAAGGTTTACAATTGTTTTAACCCTCATTAATCCTTGCACTGATTTTGATCTTTCTAGTTCTTCTGATCTACTTATAATAATTTCAAAATGTGTCTTTGTGATGAGCAATGTCCTCACAAACAAGCGTTGTAGCCATAATATTATTTTTTAGATGATATTTTACTTGGGTTACTTGTTTTGTTGTCTCAATGCAAGACACTTACATGTCAAAAGAGCCACACCATTAACTCTAATTAGCATGCAAAAGCCACCAATAGTAAAACCTTAAATCTACCTTCACTGTCCTGATATCTCTTTAAATTCATATTTTAATTCATACACACAAGAATAAAGAACATGTCTATTGAAGTAGATTGTTGTAGTTTAGTATGTGTTAAAAATTTCTCTTGAAAAAATCAACGCAAAAAATATTCTTTTAATTTGAAAAAAAAAATCAAAAATCAATTCATGATTTTATGGTTGTCTTCCAAGTTATAGTAAATTCATATCACACGCATTTTTTCTTTAAATATTACAAATAACTACCCATTTTAATTCAAATCATTGAACAGATTTTGTTACATTATTTATTTTTTAATTTTATTAAATTATAATGAAGCTCTATCCACTTAAAAAACCTGGCATTCTTAGAAAAATCATGTTATGGCTACCTTTGGTGATATGTAACATCCCACCAACATTTTTGTAACAATCAAATTTAAAACGATTTGTGTAACCTCCAGTATATGAATTTTTTGTTCCAGATATATATATATTCTACTTTTTAATTTTTTTAAGGATTTTGTCTTATTGTAAAATCTTATGTATATTATATGAAACAATACATTAATTGTTAAAGATAGAATTGTATACTTTTCTATTTTTTGAGATTTTGTGACAAATATACAGTTAGATTTTCTAAACATATTCTAAACAAAAGAAGATATTTACATCTAAGTAAACTTATTTTAATAAGTCTACAGAATGTAATGACTTTTGTTTTAAATACAGTTCTTCAAGTATCTTATTGTCTTAAAGTAGTAATCCTCAACCCCTTAAAGCACTTTAATATTTTAAAGAAATAGAATAAAGTGCTCTTTGGTGCATTAAACTAAATTCCAAGATTAATATGATCATTGATACAAACTGATGCAGTTATCAAATACAAGATCAAAAGTCTCTATCTCTCCATATATATATATATATATATATATATCAATATATCTGGTTAAAAGTATTGGTTCACTAAAGTTTTTCTCAAAAAATTGTTCTGAATGATTGCTTCAAAGAATATGTTGGAAATATCAAATTGTGTCTTCTATATATATATATATATATATGTATATGAATATGAAGGATTTTAAGCAAATTCTTGTTACTGAAGCATTATATGAAGGTTTGATATCCAAGCCTTCAACAAGATATTTCATACAATTTCAGTAACAAATGAAGGTCCCCAATGTTGCCCGAAAGAATTCTACACAATCCTGATTAAGAAAACAGGAAAGCAGAAAACCCACCAGGAGTAGTGAATGGATCCATCAAATCTCACACTTTGCTTTTGTTATTGCTTTAGTTTTTTTTTGTTTCCATGAAGGAAATGGCATGCAACACATTCAATCCCGGCTTGTGGGGTTCAAACCTTTAAGCTTGTGCTCGCATACTCCACAGTCCGAGTCGGTGGGAGTGGCGGTGTCGGCGCTGGATCACTGCCGATGCTTGCGTACTGTCGCGATGGCTTCCCTCGATCGAATCCTGAACACTCGTCATTCATTCCGCACCCACAAAAAGCGCATAATGCAGCAGCTTAACCTGGTTCGCATTGCTTGTACCCCTCTGCGGCATTGATGTGAAGCAAATTTCAAGCTGGTTTTCACCGAAGGATGCTCTTATAACGGCCTCGTCCATGTCAAACCAATTGGCAGTGACCGGCGTCTCGAGTTCCACCGCAATCGCGAAATCCATCTCTTTTAACGCAGGCTCATGCGCACCTCGTTTGCGACAACGCATAGCATGTGCTGCTGGCCATCGCGCACTATCACCAACAGCACCAGAAATGGGGCGTTGAAACCGAATACCATATTCTCAATCTCGGGTGCAGTTCAGTTGGCTCTCATTCCGCAGCTTTCTGCTTCGAAGACACGCCATATGGTTGAGATTCTGAGACCCGGCGGCGATTGATGGAAGATTTTGAGAGTGATGGAGGGAATGAAGGCAATGGTGGTGTCGGGGGGATTTGTGGGCGGTGCCACCAGGTCGCAGGTTTCCAGTTCCGCCACTTCGGGTTCGTGGTCCTCGTAGTCACTAATGCCGGCGCTCATTTCGTTTTCCGGGAGAGGTAAAAGACGGGTTGTTCGTTCCCCAACTGGCCAGGGAGCTTCGGTTGGTAACTGCAGATTCCAGGGGAGCTGTGTCGTAAGGCGGTGGACAGGTGAGGATGGAAACTGAAGCCATGAATGATGTTATCATCGATGCAGGTGTGGGCAGCCATGGCGCTGCACTTATAGCTGTTGAGAAGGTAGAGCTTTCGCAACGGTCTGCCGTTAATGCGTCCATCGCGGGTAGAGCGTTGTGGCCGTGCAACAGTATTGTCTGGCTTCCTCCCTTGTTCTCTCCTTCAGACCGATGTTGTTAATTTTTTGATACCTATTGCAAGTATTGTAGTACTTAGGATTTCAAAACCTTGATTGGAAAACTCTAATATGCTTCCTATTTAACCAATGCCTTTGATTGGGAGTCGCCCATGTCGTGATTTTATTATGGCCTTCAGCTTGTACTTTTTCTTGTCGCGTCGTCTAATGCTCGTGAAGTTTTCTTTGTGAGAATTTTGCAATATTAGCACAGTTTCGTTAACCACATACTTGTCAACATGGATGTTTGGGGAAAACCGATTTCACAAGGGTCCACGCTCTGTAGCTGAAGTGGATCCCAGCGTGGATAGATATCGTAGGAATCGGATACATTGGTGCAGAATTTAGTGATGTCTGTACAGTTCTTGAAAGCGACGTTAGTGCCCCTTTTTGTAAGTTAGCTATTCATTTATTTGGCACGGTTTTACATACGGACTTTTATTGTTCTTGTGTTAGCGACTAGCAACTGTGCCTACGGGTCATCAAAAAAAGTGCTTAACGTTGCGTCAATTCTCTTCTTTTCTGCCTCTAGTTTTTCCGGTGGCTCATAATTCATCTTTGTAAAAACGAGCAGGTGGCACTCATAGAGGCGATTGATGGCTTCATGCCCGAATTTGAGCCTCAAACCGGTTAGGCTTGCCCAGAGGAGCTTGATTAATTCTTACAAAATTGATTATCATTTCGGTGTTTAGCGACGAAGGTGTGGGATACTTTACATGAAAAGATAATCCTAGTTTCGAAAGGAACTGTTCTAGTTACAATTCGATTGATCTAACTGTTCAGGTGTTGTTCTGTTTTACTGCAGCATCTCAGTCTTATTCGATGCCTTATTTTGTTGCAGCTGCCGTTTTGTAGATCACGCCAGCTGCAGATGAAGAATCCAGCACAGATTGTATTAGTCGACACAAAGACTAAGAAGTTCAAGGAGATTCTCGAGGTAACTAATATTCCGGGTCATATTCAGCATTACAGGCATTGGATTTCATCGTTTTTAGTATCATATTTTGTAGTTTTTCTTTTTGTCTGAAATACGTGATCTTTTAAGTGTTTCTGGAATCTATCCTCACGGTGGACGCAGCACTGATTGCAACAGGACGCTACCCTTTTCAAGACCCAACACTTTATTGGAATAAGACACTACCATTTGCAAAGGTAAGATTGATTCCTGACATAAATCTTGTGCACGCTATTTCCGTGCGAGTGCATAATTTACCGATTTTCACTTCTCAACATCTGTGTTTTCACCAGTGATACTGATCTGGCAGGTGAAAGTAACCACACAGAGGGGTGTTGTACCCGTGGGTGAGCGTATGCAAGGGCTCGATGGTGAAGGAACAAAGTGAGCGGATTCTACGACGCCAAATACTTTGAAATAGTTTGAAAACCTCACAATGTCATGTTTCCAGCCGTTATGCGTGTGCATCAATCGAACATCGAATGATAAGCGTGGATTCAGAAGACTACTTCCGAAGGATTCCCAGTCTGTAATCATGGTTCTCTTGGGTAGTCATTTTTGATCGATTATAGGTATGAGTAGCTATGACATTTTAGCTGATCTTCTAGATGGACACCATTGATTCCGCCTTTCGACGTGGCTCAGACAATTCCCATCAAACACTTTCTGCCTCTGTTTGTTGTTGTGTCTGCTTTGTACTGTACAGGTGATGCCAATGGATACATAATGCTTGCCCTTGCACCCAGTGCTCAAAGCATTCCTGGTAAATTAATCAGTCCTAATCCGTCTGTGTTAAATCATTTGAAATGACTGGCAATTACATGTGTGCTTCGGATCTGAAATGCCCTGGTCACTTGCAACTGGTTTATCATGCTGATGCGTTAAGTTTGTGTGATCGTTTTGTTTCGATACTAGGTATCATTCAACATATAAGCGTGCATCTAAGTGACCAGTTTTGTTATTTTGAAGTGGGATGTTCTTACTGGTTTGATGATTGTGATCAAATGTTAAATAGCAGATTTCTGGGAGAGGCAATATTCTAAAACATAACAGGGTTCCAGCAGCTTGTTTCACTCTTTTGTAAATCAGCATGGTTGAACTCACTGGGGTGAGCTTCCAACAGCACTCGATGTTAAGGTTTCACTGCACCGAGTTTTTTTAGTACTGTTTTTCACCGTTACAGACTATAACTGGCAGAAGTGATAGTGCTTAACTTGTTCGTATTTCACGGCATCCTCAAGCAAGAGCACTAGCCGAAGAGGTGGTTTTCTAAACAAGCGATTTTATTAATACCAGATTTAAAGCAAATACTCAAGCACTTGCTGAGAACGAAGGTTGGCAAAACCATGGCTGCTCCAATAACTTGCAATTTTGATTTCTTTATATTCATGCAGCCTGTTGATTGGCAATGTTAAGTTTGGTTCTAGGTTGAGGGATTATTATTTTTTTCTCAATCACAGCCATATGATGTAATGGCCATCATATCGAGCAGTGCTTTAGTTCTTCGTGTTGATATACCCAAAAATTTCGGCATCTAAGCAATGGATATTCATTAGCAGAATGCAGCTTCAGCGGGCAAAAACTAGGCAGTTCAGGACGTTTTAAGTACGTAGACCCTTCTTTTATTCTTTCCTTCTTCTTTCTTGTGTTGGATGAGTTGTAGAATACGTAGTTATGTGTTGGATTTTTTTCAGCTGATTTATCGACCTGGAACTTGAGAGATCATAGGATTGCATATCCTTGGTCCTCATGCTGCTGATCTCATTCTCGAAGCTTCAAATGCAAGGCCATTAAGGTTGAGCTATTCCAGTCGGTCGAGGTTAATCTCATCACTCGGTCTGGTCCAATGCTAGCACGTGTTTTTAGTCGCTGTTTGGTCACGTTATGAGGAAACTTATGTGCTTTTGTTATGTAATGGATTGTTATAATCTGATGATCATGGGCTTGAGTTAGAGGAGGCCAAGGCAGCCAAACCAGCAGTGTATTGCTTTTAAAGTCTGGAAGAAGTCAGAATTTGATACAGTTGAGTAGCCTTTAATTAACTCACTAAGGTTTATATATTGGGGTGATTATATATTGGATTGTATAGTAGCAACTTCTGAGGGCTAGTTTACTAATTCGAGAATGTGAAAAATTCACATTTTCACATGTAGATCAAGTTTCATGAGTTTATTGTTTTATTTCCACATGGCAGAATCCTATTTTAGAAGGTTTGTGTGCTTACTTTCATATCTCTTTATTGGAGATACATTCTTCTAGAATCTTAAATAGATGATTTATATATATATATATATATATATGAGTTTTCACATTTAATAATTTTAAAAAAATAAAAAATAATCTTAAACAATATAAGGAAGAGAAATTAATTTTTTATGTAATTTTTAAAAAGCCCACTATAAACTTTGGATGAATGTTATTACTTATTGTATTGAAATAGATTAATTTTTTTTCAGAGTTAACTAAAACATTTAAAAGTGTTTCTAATGTTATAGATTTAATTTAGATAGAATGTTTATTTGGAAATAATTTTTTATTACAATTTTAAGTAATTAAAAGTTAATTTTAAAATATTAAAATAAAAATATTTTCTAAAATTAAGAAGTTATTAAACCCACGTCCTTCTTTGTCATTTCATTAACTCCTTAATTTTATTTCCATCATTCCTTGTTTCCAATACCTTCTCATATTCCTAAGTTTCTTGTTTTGGAATAACAAGAAAAAATAGGAAGGAAAGATGGAGAGAGATTGGAATATATATTTTAAGCTCTTTTATTATTGTCTTTGATTATTTAAAAAAACATTATTACATGATTATCTATTATATTTTTGAAACAGTGATATTTAATTTAAATGATGGCAAAATAAAAAATAAAAAAACATGGATTATTTAAAAATTAATATAAAATAAATATAAAGTGAATATGAGAGTAAAGTTCTAACTTTATTTACAAAAAATTCTTGAAATAAATTTTGATAATTTATATATTTTTAACTATTAAATATTATATTATAATAATCTCAAATAATAGAATTGAATAAAATTAATATAAATTATATTGTCAAATATAATTCTCACTTCTTTTTTTAACTTCTCCTTTCTAATTCCAAAACAAGGGATTAGAAGGGATGATGAAGGTTGGAAATAAGGAAACAAAGAAGTAGGAGAGTTGGAAATAAAGAATTAGAAGTCTTAGAAACAAGAGACAAGGAAAGAGGGTTTGAAACAAAGGACGGTAGAAAGAAGCAAAAAATAAGGGAGGAAAAAAAGGGGCTAGAAACAAGAGATGGAAGAAGAGAGCTAGAAATGAAGGATGGAGGAGGAGGGCTAAAAACAAGAGATGGGAGAAGGAAGTTAGAAATGAGAGGTGAAGAAAATGGATTATAAACAAGGGGTGGAGGAGAGAGGCTAAAAACAAGGGATGAAGGAAGGGAGTTAAAAATGAAGGATGGAGAAGGGAGGCTAGAAACGATGAGACAAGGGAAGAAGGCTAGAAATGAGGGATAAAAGAAGGAGGCTAGAAACGAGGGACAAGAGATGGAGGCTAAAAACAAAAGATGGAAAAAAAAGGTTGGAAATAAGGGATGGGAGAAGAAAGCTAGAAGTGAGGAACAATGGAGGGAGACTAGAAACAAAGAATGAAGAAGGGGAGTTGAAAACAAGAGACAGAAGAAAGAGACTAGAAATGAAGGATGGAAGAAGAAGGCTAAAAGTGAAGGATGGAAAAAGAAGGTTAGAAGCAAGGGACAGAGGAGGGAGATTAGAAACAAAGAACAAGGAAAGATGACTAAAAATAAAGGATAATAGATAAAAATTGGAAACGAGAGATAAGGAACTAAAAAATAAAGGAAAAAAAAATTGGTATTAAGGACATAAATTTTAGAAAACTAAAAAGTTCAATACACTCTTGTGTCACTCAAAAAGATTGAAGAATCACTTAAAGATAGTGTAATATTAAACTAGAATGGCTATTGCCAAAGATAAAAAGACTAGAAAGTCTTAGAAAAAGACTAAAGACTAGAAAGGCATTGATAAGAGTGAAGAAGGCTTCACTCTTGCTTCTATGTATACTATCTAACTAAGAGCTATATGACAATATTGTATAGGACCTCCAACATGTGTTGTCTTCATAAGACACATATCTTAACTTATAATACAAGTTTTCTATGTGTGTGCCACATAGTTAGCTTGTTCTACAAGCTATTATTATGTATGACACATTGTTAACTTGTTGGAAAAGTTTCTAACCTACCAATCAATTATAAAGACATATAAAGTCAAAATTATATCTATAAAGCTTCTAAAAAGCTTTTTAAAAAGATATTATGAAATAAAATCTAATATTACTTACTTTTGCCTAATTATATATATAATTATTGGAATAAATATGTATGTTCATGACATTACCTCTTCTTCTAAGAATAAGTTCTACAAGAAGTAGTCATCATCTTTCATGGATCTTATTATTCTTCATCTTTGTTTTGATGGATGTCACCAATAAAAAGCCTCAATCTTTTTTGCTTCATTTATAAGATATTTTTTTAGTTTCCATGTACATTCATTAATATCACATCCACACCAATGAACAAGATATTTCAACCTATTTCAATGCTGCCTTCAATCTAAGACTTCTTCAATCTCAAATTCTTAATTATTATCTACTTATATAGGAAGAGATGGTATTTATCTTCTTTCTAAGATATTCATTATCTTGTATGGCTTAAGAGAAAATACGTAGAATATGATGTCAAGGTAGAGTGAATTTGCCTTAAGAAAGTACTAGGCTTTTGGCTGTTACTAATTGCTTAACTAAGTCACAACTTAAAAAATCAAAGTTTATATATAAAATTATCCCAATAGGAGTAATTATATTAATACATAAGTCCTAAGTATCAAAGATTATCCAAAATGTCATAAAAATATTCTAAAACCTTATATATCCTTAAAGTAAAATCTTTTCAAACTTCAAGAATTCATATCTCATGATCAAACTGTCCAAATAAACCAAAATTTTACATGAAGTATTAATGTACATTCAAAAACTACCACAAAAAATTTCAACTATAAATTTGTTACGAATCTTGAAATATTACTAAAATCCAAACAATAGCTTCAAATCCTTGCTTACATACACTTGTATGTAATTTTCTTCATATTTCACAAATTAAATATTCAAGTATAATGAATTTTTGATATATAGCTTTTTAACCTAATAACACATACTTGTGGAAATTTTAAACTAAATTTTTTTTTAGAAATTCAAAATATGGTTCCAACCATTATGATTAATAAAATGACTCATTTATTACTTTTGAATTACATTTTCTATCTTCAATGCTCTATAATTCCTTTAAATTCAAAATACAAAAATTCTTTTGCAATAGACGTAGGTCATAAAATCACTCTTATAGCCTCACTTCTTGATTTTCAAAAGTTTTCATAAAACTCCTTGTATCCTTAAAAAAATAATAATACATCTTGAAAAGACAATATACCTTTAAATAGCTATAACTTCGTCACACCAATTCCAAATCCTTTAAAATTTATGCACAAATTATAGTCCAAACTTTAGACCTTACAATTTCTAATTTTGATTCTCAAATATTTCTTTTGAAGTTGCCAAAATCCTTGCTATGGTTGCAAGTAGCCTCCTGAGAGCCTATTGGGCATGGCCTTTGACTAGTAGAGACGAAGATGTCAACTTTTACCTTCATCTATCCATATCTTACTTTCAACCTTTCAAATAAGTTTCTTAGAGGTTTAGACTTTCAACTTTGAGTTCCAATCTTCTCTTTAAATTTT